AATAATCCAGATGACTGGGGAGTATTCCATCATACTCCTGACTTGTGCCTTGTAGATGGTGGACAGGCTTTGGGAAATTAGGAGGTGAGTTACTTAGTGTAGGATTCCTAGCATCTGATGTGATCTTGAAGCCACAGAATTTATATGTCTAGTAGTGTTCAGTTTCTGGTTGATGTTAATGCTGATAGAGGGGATCCGGCATTGGTATACAATTTGAATGTCAAGATACGATGGTTAGACTCTCTCTTGATGGTCACTGCTTACAATTTTAGGGCCTAAACTCTCCCATGTCCCAGCCTCCCACCCCACACACCAGGCCTTGTTACCACATAGCCTGCCACTACACACCCCCTGTTGTTAGTCACTAACAGTCCCCATTAACAACTACTCAACCTCCCAGCCTGATCGTTAGCAACTCCTTTGTCTATCCAACTGTCTTTCTCTCTCTTTGGGCTCTATCCTATTGTTTACTCCCTATCCCACCCACCTCCCTATTTTCTGCATATAAACTGATGTTTTCCCAGCCACCATCAGTTCTGAGGAAGAGTCACCGGACCCGAAACGTTAACTCTGTTTTCTTCTCCACAGATGCTGCCAGACCTGCCGAGCTTTTCCAGCAACTTTGTTTTTGTTCCTGATTTACAGCATCCGCAGTTCTTTTGGTTTTTACTGCTTAGCATTTGTGTGGCGTAAATATTACTTGCCACTTGGCAGCCCAAACCTGGATATTGTCCAGGTCTTGCTACATTTGGATATCAATTGCAGTAGTATTTGAGGAGTCACGGATGGTACTGAGATTGTGCAATCAACAGTTAACACACCACTTTTGACCTTACAAAGGAGTCAAGGTCAGTGATGGAGGAGCTAAAGATGGTCAGGCCTGGGACATTACCAGGAGGAATATCTGCAGAGATGATCTGGATCTGAGAAGACTGACCTCCACCAATGACAACTATCTTCTTTTGTGCCAACTATGACTTCAATCAGCAGAGTTTACCCTAATTCCTAGCGGATCTGGTTTTGCAATGGGTGCTTGATGCCACACTTGGTCAAATGCTCTTTTATCCATGTTTGAATCAAGGCTGTACTGAGGTCAGGAGCTGAGAGACTCTGGTGGAACCCAAACTGACCGTCAGGTAATTGCTAAGCAAGTGCTGCTTGATGGCACTGTCGATGACCCCCTCCTTCACTTTGCTGATGAGTGAGAGTAAACTGATGCGGCAACAGCTGGTCAGTTTAAATTTGTTTTGCTTTATGTATACTGGGCTCATGTGCAATTTTCCACATTGTTGGATAGATGCCAGTGTTCCAGCTAGGTTGGCTAGGGGCAGGAGTTTTGGAGAGCAAGGAGGAAGCAAGGATGGACTGCTTTAACTGAAGTTCATGAGTGGCTTTTGATGATTGTTTCATTTGGCTGCCATGAAGCAACTGTGAATGACCTAGCCCGCATGGAAGGATAAGTACAGCAGATGTATAAGACTACCATCTCCTGGAAGTTCCCCTCCAATTTGCACAGTCAACTGGACTTGGTTTATATCGCTATTCTTTCATTGCCGTTGGATCAACATGGAACTCCCTTCACCAACAGCACTCAGACTATGAAAGAAGCAAAAAGGAAGGATAACTCAGGAGATTTTATTAGAGATGTTGGAAATCATGAGGGTAAGAAAGCTAGCATAAAGGCACTTTACCTGAATGCTCGTTGCGTTCGTAACAAGGTTGATGAGTTAACGGCACAAATCATCGCAAATGAATATGATTTGGTAGCCATGATGGAGACATGGTTACAGGATGGTCACGACTGGGAGTTAAATATCCAAGGGTAACAGACTATTCGGAAGGACAGACAGGAAGGTAAGGGAGGAGATGTAGCTCTGATATTCAAGGACGCCATCAGGGCAGTGCTGAGAGATGATATAGGTTCTATGGAGAATGAGATTGAATCCATTTGGGTGGAAATTAGAAATTCTAAGAGGAAAATGTCACTGATAGGCGTAGTCTATAGGCCACCAAATAATAACATCACATTGGGGCGGGCAATAAACAAAGAAATAACTAATGCCTGTAAAAATGGTATGGCAATTACCATGGGGGATTTTAACCTACACGTAGATTGGTCGAACCAGCTTGGTCAGGGTAGCCTTGAGGAGGAGTTCGTTGAGTGTATCCATGATAGTTTTCTTGAACAGTATGTAATGGAACCAACGCGGGAGCAAGCTATCCGAGATCTGGTCCTGTGTAATGAGACAGGAATAATTAATGACCTCATAGTTAGGGATCCTCTTGGAAGGAGTGATCACAGTATGGTTGAATTTAGAATACAGATGGAGAGTGTGAAGATAAAATCCAATACCAGGGTCCTGTGCTTGAACAAGGGGAACTACAATAGAATGAGGGAGGACTTGGCTAAAGTAAACTGGAAACAAAGATTTTATGGTGGGACAGTTGACGAGCAGTGGAGGACTTTCAAAGCAATTTTTCAAAGTGCTCAGCAAAAGTATATTCTAATGAAAAGGAAGGACTGTAAGAAAAGGGGTAATCTGCCATGGGTGTCTAAAGAAATAAGGGAGGCTATCAAATTGAAAAAGAAGGCATACAAAGTGGTCAAAAATAGCATGAAACTAGAAGATTGGGAAAACTTTAAAGGTCAACAGAAAGCCACAAAAAGAGCTATAAGGAAAAGTAAGATAGAACATGAGAAAAAACTAGCACAGAATATAAAGACAGATAGGAAAAGTTTCTATAAATATATAAAACGAAAAAGAGTGGCTAAAGTAAACGTTGGCCCTTTAGAGCATGAGAAGGGGAATTTGGTTACGGGATACGATGAAATGGCCGAGGCATTGAACAGGTATTTTGTATCGGTCTTCACAGTGGAGGACACTAATAACATGCCAGTAATTGACAAAGAGACGAAGGTAGGTGAGGACCTGGAAACAATCATTATTACGGAAGAGGTAGTGTTGGGCAAGCTAATGGAGCTAAGGATTGATAAGTCTCCTGGCCCTGATGGATTGCATCCCAGGGTACTAAAAGAGATGGCGGGAGAAATAGCAGGTGCACTGGCGGTAATTTTCCAAAATTCGCTGGACTCTGGGGCAGTCCCAGCAGATTGGAAAACAGCAAATGTGACGCCACTGTTTGTTTAAGAAGGGAAGTAGACAAAAGATGGGGAATTATAGACCAGTTAGCTTAACCTCTGTAATGGGGAAGATGCTTGAGTCTATTATCAAGGAAGAAATAGCAAGGCATCTTGATAGAAATTGTCCCGTTGGGCAGACGCAGCATGGGTTCATGAAGGGCAGGTCATGCTTGACAAATCTTTTGGAATTCTATGAAGACATTATGAGCGAGGTGGACAATGGGGACCCAGTGGATGTGGTGTACCTAGATTTCCAAAAGGCCTTTGACAAGGTGCCGCACAAGAGGCTACTGCATAAGATAAGGATGCATGGCATTAAGGGTAAAGTATTAGCATGGATAGAGGATTGGTTGCCTAACAGGAAGCAAAGAGTGGGGATAAATGAGTGCTATTCTAGCTGGCAGTCAGTGACTAGTGGCGTGCCTCAGGGATCGGTGTTGGGACCGCAATTATTTACAATTTATATAGATGATTTGGAGTTGGGGACCACGTGTAGGGTGTCAAAGTTTGCAGATGACACTAAGATGAGTGGCAAAGCAAAGTGTGCAGAGGACTGTGAAACTTTGCAGAGGAACATAGATACATTGAGTGAGTGGGCAAAGGTCTGGCAGATGGAATACAATGTAAATAAATGTGAAGTCATACATTTTGGTAGGAGTAATAGTAAAAAGGATTATTACTTGAATGGTAAAAAGTTGCAGCATGCTGCACTGCAGAGGAACCTGGGTGTCCTTGTGCATGAATCACAGAAGGTAGGTCTGCAGGTACAACAAGTAATTAGGAAGGCAAATGGAATTTTGTCCTTCATTGCTAAAGGGATTGAAATAAAAAGCAGACAGGTTATGTTGCAGCTGTACTAGGTGCTGGTGAGGCCACACCTGGAGTACTGTGTGCAGTTTTGGTCTCCTTACTTGAGAAAGGATGTATTGGCACTGGAGGGGGTGCAAAGGAGGTTCACTAGGTTGATTCCAGAGTTCAGGAGGTTGGTTTATGAGGAGAGACTGAGTAGATTGGGATTATATTCATTGGAATTCAGAAGATTGAGGGGGGATCTTATAGAAACATATAAAATTATGAAGGGAATAGATAAGATAGATGTAGAGAGGATGTTTCGACTGGCAGGTGAAGCTAGGACAAGAGGGCATAGCCTCAAGATTAGAGGGAGCAGATTTAGGACTGAACTGAGAAGGAATTTCTTCACCCAGAGGGTTGTTAATCTATGGAATTCCTTGCCCAGTGAAATAGTTGATGCTACTTCAGTAAATGTTTTTTAAAAAATGTAGATTTTTTTTGAACAATAAAGGAATTAAGGGATACGGTGAGAACGCAGGTAAGTGGATCAGAGTCCACGAAAGGATCAGCCATGATCTTATTGAATGGCGGAGCAGGCTCGAAGGGCCAGACGGCCTACTCCTGCTCCTAGTTCTTACGTTCTTATATACCTACATTCCATGTACTGTGGTTCAAGGAGGTGCCTCACCATCACCTTCTCAAGGATCAGTATGAAATGGCCAACAAATGTTGTTTTCGCTAGTGATGGTCGCATCCCACGAAAGAATTGAACAAAAAGAGTGAGTTGTATTGTTTAATTCCTGGCAGTCTGTGGAAGATGCAACCTGTCCTGAATTGGTCTTGTTTAGGTCTGATCAGTGGGCCAACCAGTGTATCCAAGGGATAACCAATCAGATGCCTGGAAAATCTGCGTCCGGGTACCCGTATTGACCAATGGGAGAGCAGCTCATGCTGGATTTGCAGCCAATCATGTGGATTGAGTCCGCGGGCAGCAGCCAGTGATGGGGAGGGAGGTGCCCAAAGGGCGGGTTCAGGGCTGGTGTGGGAGTGCTCGCGGTCCCGGGCTGTGTTCGCCCGCTCACTCAGTGCCACTACCTCCACCATCACAACATCTCCTCCCCGCCCTTTTCAATGACACGTTGCCTCAGCTAAACACCCCTTGCCTCCCCCCGAAAAAAGTTTGCACTTGTTTTCACACCCCCCCGTCATCTCTTCATACCTGAGGCACTTTGATCAGGTGCATCCAAGTGTGGCGAAGAGCTGTCACCGAGCGCCTGTTAAAAACAAGGAGTTGCGAGGAAAACTCCCTCACAACGGGAGCCTGTGGCGTTTGCTCACTTGTCTTTTGTTAAACGTTCACTAATAGTCGCTGACGTGTGCAGCCTGCACGGCTCCAAATGCTGTGTACCTTCCCAGAGATGCCCAGATCTAAGGAGGGGAAATGTGGATTTCGATTTGAAACTCTCCTGAGTCAAAGCATCTGAGAGCCGAGACCCCGAGCTCTCCCGGAGTGCAGTCCGATTCGTCAGACTTTGGGAGAAAAGATACTTTTTCTAAAAAAAAGATTCAGGTATGTGACCAGGAGCTCTTTTTTTTCAGCTTAGTGAGGGCTTCGCGTGTGGAAATCTGGATCAGAGCGGGACAGCTTTTGTGTCAGAGACCCGAGTTCAGCGTGGTAATACTAATTATGTTCAAACAAAACGTTTGATGTGAAAAGCGATTCTAACTAAATATCAAATAAAATTGAAAGTAGAAGGTTTTGGGACAATGTACTTGCAGAGCTGCTGGGTTTCTAGATTTGATAGTGAATCTCCCCCCCACTCCCCTCACCCCCCCCCCCCCCAACAAGTACAAATTGCTGGAAGTCACAGCACTACTTGTAATGGCAGGTCGGCATCACTTTGAAGGAGGTGGTCGGTCAGATTTAGGAATTACGTTAATGATTCTTCATTTTCGGAATTATTGTATAAAAATATTGCAAATTCCCGTTCGGTCCATCCGTAACGAGTCTATGAAAATTCAATATTTTCACTTGTTTTTTTTCTACCCTCTATCAATGCACCTAGTATAACCTGAATGACAAATTGTGATCGCAACTGAACTTGGCATTAAGTTCCATGCCAGCTCTCCTGTCACACGTGATGCAGAGAACAACCACTCTCCTTTCTGGAGTTCAGTATTTCCAGCCCTGTCGTTTTTTTTTGTTTATTTTAGATTTCTGGCACCCTCAATATTTTGCTCTTATTCTGGAGTTCAGCTCTTGAGTCCAGGATTGGACTAAGGCTATAATGAGGTCTGGGGACAAGTGACCCGGGCAGAATCCAAACAGCATTATGAAGAAGGTAATGGGTGCTGCCTGATAGCGCGAGTACTCTGGGTGACTCGTTGCATTGTTTTGATGACAAGAAGGAGACTGATGGAGCAGCAATTGGTTAGATTGGATTCGTTCTTGCATACCTGGACAATCTCCCGCATTGTCTGCTCGGTGCCAGTAGCTGTACTGGAACAGTGTAAACAAGGGGTCGACAAGTTCCGATACCTTCAGGACTAACCAGTTTGTTGTTGGCTTTTGCCTTGTCCCATGAAGTCAGCCACTTCTTGATGTCATGTGGACGGAATTAAATTTACTTCTAATCCAACACTTTGTTGCTCATTCTCCATAAACATTATTGTCCCGCATTTTTTCAGGGAGCGATCAAATTTATATTTAAAATGACTTATTCATTCTTCCTATGACAGTTGGTGGTGGAAAAGTTTGACTAATCTGAGTAAGCAAATTTCGTATCTTTTAAAAAATAATTACTTAAATGGTGCCCTCATTATCTTGGCAATCAGCTGAAACAATCTATCAATATTAAATTCGTGAAGACCTAATTTTGCAACTTAATTGGTACATTAAGCAAGAAGTTACTGTTCAGCTACGATGGAAAGCATTTAAAAAAAAGTAGAGGCCAAGCGTTTATTGTAGGTTGCAATGCAGACTCGACAGTGATGAAATCCATGTTCCATCATGTTCATGCTTGATGGGATTTTAAAAATGTATAACAGGTTGTGCAAAGTAGTAAAATTTTAAAGGCTGCTACGAATGCTCAAGTAGATTCAGATGGTTTCTCCCAGCATCCCTACACACCACATGAGTATTGTCAAATTCATCTTTTAGCTTTGTCTTGCATCATCTCCATTGTGACTTTGTTGTACCAGCCTTGCTGTTCCTTTTCTCCCTCTGTTCTGTGTGACTCTGGAATTTCCTCCTTAAACCTGCCTTCCTTGCTTCCCTACTTTTTAATACAGTATTTAAAACCTACCTCTGACTAAGCTTTTTGTCATCTGCTCTAATAGCTGTTTATGTGGCTCAGTGTCATATTTTATTTTGTGTTGTCCCTGTAAAGAGCCTTAGAACATTTTATTCTGTTATAGATGCTAAATGCATACAAGTTTATGTTGTGTTTAACTCTCCAGTCTCATCTCCTGAGACTGTTGCATCAGATTTGTTAGCTCTGTTTTTATTTCGCCCCTTTTGGCACTATCAGCTGAGTTCTATCCTGTTCCTTGTCTTGTGGCAATGGCTTTGTCCTGTCTGGCCTCTTTTTTGTTTTGTTACGCTTGATGATGGCATTGAGCCAAAACTCTTTTGTTAACACTTATGTGGTAAGTCACTGTGAAACTTGCTTTATTTATTTTATCTCTCCAACTCTTTTTTTCTTGGTACTCTCTTGTGGGACATGGATGTCACTGGCTGGGCCAACGTTTATTACCCTTCCCTGGTTGACTTTGAGAAGGTGGTGGTGAGATGCCTTCTTGAATCACTGCAGTCCATGTGCTGGAGGTAGACCCATATTGCCATTAGATATGGAATTCCAGAATTTTAACCCGGCAATTCTGAAGGAATGGTGACATATTTCTAAGTCAGGATGGTGCGTGGCTTGGAACTTGCAGATGGTGGTGTTCCCATGTATCTGTGGCCCTTGGCCTTCTCAGATGGTAGTAGTCATTGGTTTGGAAGGTCGTGTTCCCATATATTTGTGGCCCTTGTCCTCCTAAGATGGTAGTGGTTGTGAGTTTGGAAGGTACAGTCTAAAGATCTTTGGTGAATTTCTGCAGTGCATATTGTAGGCAGTACACATTGTTGCTACTGAGTGTCAGTGATGGAGGGAGTGGATGCTTCTGGATGTGATGCCAATCAACCGGGCTGCTTTGTCCTGATGGTATCAAGTATCTTGAATATGGTTAAAGTTGCATTTATTCAGGCAAGTCCGCCACACTCGTGATTTATGCCTAGCAGATGGTGGACAGGCTTTGTGGAGTCAGGAGGTGTGTTACTCATTGCAGGATTCCTGGCCTTTGACCTACTGTTGTGGATACTATTTAAATGTCAAGTCCGGTTCAGTTTCTGTTCAATGGTAACCCCAGGAAGTTGATATTGGGGAATTCAGTCATGGTAACACCACTGAATGCCAAACTGTAATGATTACACCGGCTATTATTGGAGATGGTCATTGTTTGGCATTTGTGTAGTGCAAATGTTACTTGCCACTTTTCAGCCCATACCCCCTGGATATTGTCCAAGTGTTGCTGCAGTTGGAGATGAACTGCTTCGGTATCTGAGGAGCCATGGCTGGTGCTGAATATTATGCAGTCATCGGCGAACCTTATGTTGGATGGAAGGTCATTGATGAAGCAGATGAAGATGGTTGTGCCTCGGACACTATGCTGAGGAACTCCTGCAGAGATGCAATGGAGCTGAGATGACTGACACCAACAGCCGCACCCATTTTCCTATATACCAGATATGAATCCAATCAGTGGAAAGTTTTCCTCTGATTCTCATTGACTTTAGGTTGAATAATGCTGGTAGATTGCCACGCTTGGTCAAATGCAGACTTGATGTCAAGGGCATCACTCTCACCTCATCTTTAGAATTCAACTCTTTTTTCCATGTTTGAATGAAGGCAGTAATGAGGTCAAGAACTGAATAGCCCTGACAAAGCCAAAACTAAGTCTCAGTGAGCAAGTTTTTCCTAGTCTGTTGACGATACCTTCCATCATTTTAATCATGATCAAGAATAAACCAAAGGGTAGTAATTGGCTGGGTTGGGTTTGCCCTGCTTTTTGTGGACAGGATGTAACTGGGCAATTTTACATATTGTCAGGTAGATGCAAGTGTTGTAGCTGTACTGGAATAGCTTGGCCAAGGAAGTGGCACCTTATGGAGCACAAGTCCTTTGTACTGTTGCTGGAATGTTGCCAGGGTCTGTAGCCTTTGCAGTATCCAGTGCCTCCAGCCATTTATTGATACCATGTGGAGTGAATTGAATTGGCTAATGACTGTTATCTTGGCATGCTGGGCACCTCAAGTGAAGGCCACAATGGATCATCCATTTGGCATTTCTGGCTAAAGATAGTTGTGAATGCTTTAACCTTTTCTTTTGCATTGACATGCTGGGCTCCCCCATCATTGAGGATGGGGATATTTATGGAGCCTCCTCCTCCACTGAATTGTTTAATTGTTCACCACCATTTACAATTGGATGTGGCAGAACTGCGGAGCTTAGTTTTGCTCCATTTGTTGTAGGATCACTTGGCTGCTTATGCTGTTTGGCATCATTTAGTCCTGTTTTATAGCTAGACCAGGTTGACACATCATTTTTAGGTATGCCTGGTGCGAGTCATGGTATGCCCTCCTGCTTTGTCCATTGAACCAGGGTTGATCCCTGGTTTGTTAGAATGAGGGTTATGCCGGACCTTGAGTCACAGATTGTGTTGGAGTATGATTTTGCTGCTGCTTATGGCCCACAGTGTCGCATGATGCGAAGTCTTGAGTTGTTGGATCTGTTTGAAGTCTGTCCCATTAGTGACAGTGCCAAATGACATGATGTAAGGTATTATCATTGTGAAGATGGGACCATATAGTGGTTACTGTTACCAGTATTGTCATGGACAGATGCATCTGTGGCAGACAGATTGGTGAGGATGAGGTCAAGTATTTTTTTCCCTCTGTTGCTTCCCTCACCGCCTGCCACAGACTCTACTAGCAGCTATGTCCTTTAGGACCTGACCAGCTCAATCAGTAGTGCTGCTGCCAAGTCACTCTTGGTGATGGAGATTGAAATTCCTCACTCAGAGTACGTTCTGCAGCCTTGCCACCCTCAGTGCTTCCTTCAAGTGTTGCTCAACATAGAGGAGCACTGATTCATCATCTAAGGGAGAACATTAATCAGCCAGTCTGCCATCTACAAGACACAAGTCATAATTGTGACTCCCTGCTTGCCTGGATGAGTGCCAGGTGGTCTTCTCCAACAACTTGCAAGAAGCATGGCTCCATCCAGGCCTAACAGCCTGCTTGAGTGGCACCATATCCACAAGCATCCACGATGCTTAGTAGCAGCAGTATGTGCTATCTACAAGATGCACTGCAAAATTCATTAAAGATTTTTAGACATTACCTTCCAAACCCACGACCACTCCCACCCAGATTGACAAGGATAACAGATACATGGGAACATTACCACCTGCATCCCTCTTTGGCTGGGTCAAAATACTGGAATTTCCCTGCTAAGAACACTTTGGGTC